TGCTATTCCCTATACGAACCACATTGTAGCTCATTCCTCTGCCAACATCTCCTGGGAGCACATTGAATTATTGAGAAAGCATATGTGTGGGAGAGCAGAGCATGGTCGCTTTGAAAGGCACAGGGAGCATTTCTCTGTCGCTGGATTATAGAAGTAAATACCAATAAAGGTCACATTGAAAGTGAAATATTAAAGACTAGGATTATTTCTTTACTGAAAACTGACTTTACAAAGCTGTTAGAAGTCTTTTTGGAGACATTTGTGAAAATCTGAAATATATAGGAATGACATTTGTGTGCTACAAAATTGCTCAATTTTTGTGAGCACATAGTGGCTTAGTGACCCTTGCCTTAGCAAATGTGAAAAGAAATATTGTTTGACATAACTTAACCAGCAACACGCAGTTTGTCTGCTTTGTTGAAAAAGTTATGGAGGACCTTGATTTAGTTGAAAAAAAAAGCATTGACTAAACAAAAATGTGATTTCTGCTACTGAAAATTGATGGAGCAAGGTAATTATTGAAGAAAGGTAGGAATTTCTATGTACTCAGGAGCACTCCTCTGACAATGGGGATTCTTTACACTTGTTATGAATAATTTGAGTCCCTTCCTTAATGTGTATTTGCACTACAAAGGGCCTTTCTGTAACACACATAAAACACTCAGACACTCTGCGTGTGTGTACTAACGTGAAAGTGAGACTTTAGGAAAGCAGTCAAAAGCATGATGTGGATCTCTGTTCTCTTTCTGGCTGACCTGTTTTTGTCGAGAGTCATGTGCACCACAAAGCATGGTATTCGCTGCTTAATTTAGCAATCAGAGTGCAGTGAAAGAGTCTCAGAAGAACTGAGAGCCTGTCTGGTTTATAAAGGAGATCTAAGGATAACCATGTGCAGGTTTTGGGCTGCCCTTTGGTTACCAAGATACAGCCACTACCAGCCAAGTGTGCATGGAGTGAAAAGATTAAAACAAAAGGTACATGATACAGTAAAGTCCTGCTCTGATGGACTTATCATTTCAGAACCTGCTCTCAACCAATGAGCAGCAAAGTCTGGTCTCTCTGAATTTTCTGCAGTTTTTGCTTTTTTCATATTTTGTTGTGTTTTTTTAGCTGCTGATATTGGATACTTTGGCTAGGAGAAGAGTTTATTCCAGTGTTGATCTACCTGGCTTCACTCTCATAAGGTCAGACAGAGATGCTCAAGCTAGTAGCAAGAAGAAAGGAGGAGGTCTGGCTTTATTTGTCAACCAGAGATGGTGTAACCCTTCACAAATAACTGTCAAGGAGAAGTTGTGTTGTCAAGATATTGAACTGTTGGCAGTTGCACTTCGGCCATATTATGTTGCAAGAAAATTTAATCATGTCATAACAATACTTAAATACATGTATTCTCCATGATACTGTTGCTAGGATACAGACTCAACACCCTGAAACACTTGTAATAATATCAGGAGACTTCAACCATGTCCCCCTCTCCTCTCATCTGACTTGATTTTAAACCCATTCTATGATTCTTTGGCATTCTTCTCTCCACTCTTTAAAGGACACCCATTTTAGCTTCCTTTGTCAAGGAGCTTATTCTTTCAGTCACTATCCAAAGTTCACATCCAAAGGTGAGGGTTAGATTGCACATTAGCCATTAAATTGAAAGCTTTGCCTCCAGGCTTGGCCCCCTCTTCACAAAAATGTCTAGAAAAATGCCTGCAGTATAGCTGGCACTACACTGTCTGTCCATTTCATGAACCCTTTTATCCTCATTCTTCAACAACATCTCAAGATACTTGAACTTCTTTACTTAGGGTAAGGATTTACTCTTCGTATTGACTGCTTTTCAGCAGAGAACCGTGGCCCAGGACTTAACATCATCCAACAGCTTCAAACTCGGCTGCAAAGCTACCAAATTTCTACTGGCGGTCAGAGTCTGAAGAAACCAGCAGAACTATTTCAATTACGAAAGCAGGGGTGATTTTCTAAAGCCCCCAAAGTGACTGCCCTTTCTCCAAGCTGTGTCTTGAGATCCTGTCTGCAAAGGTCACAAACAGGATTGATGGCAAGGACGGGCTGGCAGGTCCTTTGTTAGCCTGTTATGCTTGATTATAATATAACAAAGATTTGGAAGTCAGGGTTCCCTTTCTAAACCAGCCTTTGAACAAAAGGACACCGTGTTTGCATAATGGTTTACAGCCTGCATAATTTTAACAAGAAAAGTATTAGTATTAAAATATACTTAAAGGCCTCAATGTTGCATCAAACAACTTTTGCTGACCATAACTCAAGCTCTAATCACAATTACTGCACCAAACACAAACCTCGAAATTCAAAGAGCAGAGCTCTTACAAGTTCTGTCTCCAGCTGCAACCAATCAAAGCATCTCACACACTGTGTTGGATACTGTCATTGGATCATGAGGTTAATGATTCTGTGCATTATCAAATCAGATTTATTATCTTAGCATGAATTAATTTGTCTGTATTGTGTGGTCTATTAAGACACCACCAAACAAAGCCTTAATTAGAGGGACGTTAATTGCAGTGATTACCAGCCTCCTCTTGAGGCGTTGTGAAAGGGCGGAGGAGGAGAAATGGCCACCAATTTTTTGGAGTGATGTAAATTAGGCCTGATATTCTGCAAAATCTCACACTGCGATGATACGTGGAGGTTCACACTCTTTGTGTTCTCTCCAAGTTGTTTTTTCCTTAATCTCTTTGGATTGCCTGAACAAAATTACAGAGCAATTGCTCAAGTGTTGTTCACATAGATAATGTTCTGTGTGAAAACAAATTAAATTATTCCTACTGAGAGAGTATTGTGTTGAAGGGCTGGAAGCAAGTGCAGCTACAATCTCTTGGAAGAAAAACAAAGTCAGCCCAGAAACAGTAGCTCTGTAGGCAGTGCAAGTGTTTGTTGTTCTGTGATATGCATATGCAATCAGAAAAGAAGGAAGACTAGAGGGCGGCTTACAGAAGCTCGAAAGACGTTACCTTATCTCACTCTCTGCTCAATGTCTCCTCTCTGTTGGCAGTTCCCAAAACATTTTGCACATAAAGCTGCAAACACATCCTGCAGTGCTGTCATGTAGTTTGTTTCTTCTGCAATCTGCATGATTCTGCTTTTCATATTAATACAGCCCTGTCACACAGAACTTGATTGAGAAACCAAGATACTTCACCAGCAGTTGGTAATAGGGTGATACAATCCATTGAGGAGTATCATCAGATTCCTGCTGTTTGAGTAATTGCATTTGAAAGAGCATGAAAAAAAATCTAGATGTGCATGTCTCATAATGGAAACATGCACATTGTCAAGTTGACTCTTAACGTATGAATGAATTTTCCTTCAATAAATTTTTCATTCATCAAGGACATTAATACATATTTCATTTAAAATCACCAAAGAGGAGGACACAGACATTAACTGACTCAGAAAACACAACCATCCAAATCTTTTCTTTATTTTGAAGTGAAAGCAGCTTGTCTTTGGCTTGATTCCCAACCAGATTGATTAATATTGATCAAAGCCTTGTGAGGGCATCCGTCTTACAACAATGGTGCCCTCAGCCTCTGAGTATGCTGCTTGTATTTAAACACCTGATTGCTATCACATGAGATATAACAAATCGATTGGAGACCGCATCATGGAATATAATTCACGGCTTGAGTGAAGCCAATAGTTGACTCTAATTATGCAGCCTTGTTTGTAGTTTGAAAGCTAGTGTGCTCACAGTCCCCAGAGATAAGTGGAGATGGATGTGTAGGTGGTGGAGGTTTAGACAGTGCACTTGAAAGTCACTTCTTTTTTTTTTTTTGGAGGTCAAAATGTCAGTAACATGTAATTGAAAGGGTGCAGTCTCTTTTCCTTCAGATAGGCTTCCTTTCAGTGTTTATTTGAATTACTATGCTGATGAAGAGTTATTTTAGTTTTACCCTTACTTGAGTGACCTTTGCAGCTGAAAAGTAACTACTTATATTTGGTGCGCTATTATGTACAAGGTTTACATGCACACAACTGCTATCAGTAGTGGTTTGTTGTGGTTCTTTATGGTTCCATTTTTTTTTTTTTTTTTGTGGCGGAACTGACCCAACTACCCCTCACTTCTGAAAAGATAACTCTTGATTTGCTGCCTTGCCTTAAGGGTCTTGTGTAGAGGTGTTGACAGATGCAGCTAGCCCCAAGATCTTGATTTTATTTATTTATCTATTTGGGGGTGGGGGTGGGCTGTAATCTGCGAGTTGCCAATCTGATATACATTCACTTCCTACTTTGTGACATCATCTCTTAAACTAAAGCCACACTGTTGACTTCAGGATGCCTCTGTAAAATTCTTCTGTACAACACCAAAGCTGCCTTACTTCATTATGAATGGTATTATTATGGTAAGGACATTTTTTAAATTTTTTTTATGAAAACCTGAATGACATCGTGTCAACATTGTGTTTGGTGGAGTGAGCATGCGCGAGTGAGTGAGCAGATGGAAGAGCTCCGTGGCTCTCCACCGAGTGTCAATCCAATGGATTAAAATTCAAAAAAAAAAAAAAAAGGCCCATTTGCAGCTCTCCCATACCGAAAGAAGAACAAGTAGGCGTCCTAACAAGGAGCACACTTTTACGGAGGACGTGCTGGGTGAGCGTTTACTGCACAAACAAACAAAAGATGCCAGAGACAATTGTCAGCCTTGGAGCCAAACTGACACATTTGACTTTGAAGGTGGACAAGTTAGTTGAATTAATCACTACCAATAATGTACTGCTTCACACTGTGGTCAAAAGAGTGGAATCTCTCGAGACAAAAGTTGAAAGCAATGCAGAAGCCCTACACGATACGGAAGTTCAATTGATTTCTCAGGACAAGCGCATCACTCACCTGGAAAATAAATTGAAGCAAGCGATGGACGTGATTGACCAGCTTCAGAATCGACATCGCCGAATAATTTGAGGCTGCTGAATGTGCCAGAGAAGGAAGAAAGCAACATGTCATTGATTGATTTTTTGGTGAAAATCTTTATGGAAAAATGGAAACTGCCGCTTGTCACAGACGACTTTGAAAGAGCGCACCGCATGGGACCACTTAGAGACAATCAGAAACACCCGCGGGCCATCATCTCCAAGCTACATCACTTCCAGAAGAAGCAGCGGATTCTCAACATGTCTAAGTTGAGCCCAGAAGACTGTGTCCTCAGGGTGGTACCTGATATATCGGCACAGCTTCAGGCGAGGAGATCCGAGTTTTGGCCGCTGAGGAAACACCTACATCAGATGGGACTTAAGACTTACTTTCAACACTCGGCCATCCTCTGGGTGGAGGTGGGGCGCAGAAGATGAGCTTCAACTCCCTGGACCAAGCTCAAGTGCAATTCAAACTACAGTATCCATCCATAAGTCTTCATTAAGAGGACGAAGACGAGGAACTTATGAATAGATGATGATCTAAATTGAATTGACACTGTCACTTAGGATTCAATTATGCCATGGAAACAACATCCACGAATGCAACTGACTCCATAGTACCCTGTCTGGAATTATATGGGACACATAAGGGGAACTAATGGACACACTGCCTTCCCCAGTCACTTTTAACACTTTAGATGTTAAAATGTCACCTGCCAATATTGATATGGGAAGAGGTGTAAGGGAAGGTGTGTGTATTGCCTTGAAATCATTGTTTATTTGACACAAGGGAATATTGTTTATATTGTTTAATACAAAATTATCAGCCAGAGCCTGAAGGAGCTTAAAGGTTGAGCTCCATTGTGAATTTACTATTTACTCAAAGGGATGGGGGGGGGGGGGGGGTGATCTGCATTGGGGGAAGGGGGTGGGTAACCCATCAGAAAGTAAGACATGCACCATTCCAGAGGAAATTAATACAGTTTTCTTAGGTTTCTACAAAAATCTCTATACCTCTGAAATCTCATTCAACATGGATGAGTTTAGGTATTTTTTTACTGACCTTGACTTGGGAAAACTACCTATTTCAGAAGCAGAGGACTTAGAAAATAGTATTTTGTTACAAGAACTATGGGACACAATACAGGAGATGAATCTGAATAAGTCTCCAGGACCAGAAGGTATTCCCACTGAAGTGTACATCAAATTTTGGCCCGAACTTGGTCCTGTGCTTTTTAAAATGATTACTACATCTATTGCAAAACAATCTTTTTTAAAACAAAGAAACACAGCCCTTATATCACTTTTGGTTAAAAAAACATAAAGAGCCAACATTGTGTACCGGTTACAGGCCAGTATCATTAATCAATGTAGATATAAAGATATATGCTAAAGTACTGGCCCGCCGTCTGAATAAACACTTAGGAAAACTAATTCATTATGATCAAACCGGGTTTGTGAAAGGCCGATTTAGTTCAGATAATTTAAGATGACTGTTACATATTTTACATTTCACCTCAGACTGCTCTGACCTGTTGACCTCATATGGAATTCTAACTCTTGATGCCGAAAAAGCTTTCGATAGGCTTAAATGGGACTACCTTTGGGCCTTATTAGAGCAAATAGGTTTAGGCGAAGCATTCATTGGCTACATTAAAGCTCTGTATGCGAATCCAGGAGCAACTGTTCTGTCAGGTAATGTATGCTCCTCATATTTTTCAATCCATAGAGGTTCACATCAAGGATGTTCACTGTCCCCATTACTATTTGTTTTAGCACTGGAGCCCCTTGCTCAAAAAGTACGCCAGTCTACTAATATCATTCCTATTACTATAAAGTCCACTATTCATCACATATCGCTTTACATGGATGACATACTCCTCTTTATCAGTGAACTATCACAGTCGCTTCTGCATATCGTTAATTTATTCAAGGAGTTTGGCAATTTATCTGGATATAAGATAAATTGGCATAAATTTGCATTCTTACCGCTAAAAGACAATGGAGAGGATTTATCCCAATTAAAGGTGCCAATGGTAAATCAATTTAAATATTTAGGAATAGACATCTTAACTAATTTGGAGAGTACTGTTGACAATAATTATGCTGTATGTTTAGATAAGATTAGAACCAACTTAGGGAAGTGGATGGCAAAACCAATATCATTCGTTGGCAGGATCTCAACCATAAAAATGATGGTACTACCTTTAATCAACTTCCTGAGCTCCATGCTTCCTCTGAACACCCCAAGGGAATTCTGGGATAGACTGCAGAGCTTGATCACTGAATTAATATGGAATTTTAAAAAAAACAAGGATTAAACTTACAACGCTGCAAAGAGAGAAAGCAGCTGGAGGCTGGGGCCTTCCAGACTTTAAAATTTACTATTGGTCCTTTGTATTACGTACCATAAAAATGTGGTTAGACCCAACAAATTCTATATCATGGCACACTTTGGAACAAAAGCTAATACATCCATGCAGATTACAGGATCTAATATTCACAGATATTCCCATCAAACAAGCTAGAACACATTTTGGTCCTATTATTGAAAATGCTTTAGCAACGTGGTGACTTAGTACACCAATACAATTAATAAATGGCACTTTAACACTCCGATATTTTGTAATCATAATTTATTGATAGGTGGTCGACCTGCAGCCTACCCTATATGGTCAAATAATGGGATTCATACACTTGGACAATTATTCAATTTTAATGGGCTTCGTACATTCGAAGATTTGAAGGGACAATTTAACCTGTGTCGAATTTTCTTGTTTTTTTTACTTCCAGCTCCGTGCTGCCATGAAGACTTATGGAATTCCTTGGAACTCAGAGCTGCCCAGACATGACCTGGCAAAACAACTGTACAATACCAACACCAGGGGAACTGTATCAGCACTTTATGCTCAAATACTGCAGGCATCCTATAAAACCAATGGCAACTCAATATTTTTGGCAGAAAATGTATGCTTCAATTAACTTTGAAATATCATGGGAAACAGTATGGAATAATATCACTCAGGCCTAAAAAACCCTGATCATCAAACCATACATCTAAAATCGTTCATAGAGCATATTTTACACCCAAACTCAGACATACATTGAAGTTGGAGTCATCTCCCTTCTACCAATTATGCACATTTGGTTGCTTAGGCACCTTTATACACATGTTTTGGGATTGCCAAGGAGTACAGTTGTTTTGGTTACAAGTCACTAATTGCTTGTCTAAAATTCTGAAAAAGGAGATTTCATGCTGTCCTGTACTTTGCTTACTGAATGATAACTCTCAGTTTCCAATGTCAAAACACGAAAAAGGATTCGGATTTCTGGCTTAACGGCTGCCAAGAAAATGTTGGTAGTACGGTGGAAACCACCATATGCTCTATCACTGAATCACTGGTGGCACCTCCTGATTGATATTCTACAACTAGAACTTTCTGTTGCACGGTCTCATGGGGCAAAAGAAAAAACACTAAAATCTTGGTCAGAAGCCATCAGAGGTTTTGAGAAGCTTGCCTATCAACTCTCAGACGGAGGTTTTGGGACCTAGGTTTCGTTGTGTAGAGTGTTGTTGTTTTGTACGCTTTTTTCTTTTTTGTTTGTTTGTTTGTTTTTTTCTCCTTTTTGTTATATGTGAACTTGAAAATTGAATACAAATTGTTAACAAAAAACCTGAATGAAACTAAACAACTAAAAATGAAAGTTGAGCACAACGGCTCTCTGTGAGATTGTATTCTCAGTGTGGAGGGACAAGACAGACTGTAAATGTTTGTCTTCTGTGCTTTGTGCCATGTGGCCTTTTTTGCAAGACACTTTGAGAGTTTTCTGTGGAGAGAACCCACTGAGAAACTGATTCCATCATCAAAGCTTGTCACTGTAAGTGCGTTCCTCTGCTGTGAACTGACCTTGAGATACAGGTTTAGCAAACATCTGACACAACTTTTGTTTTGACTTCTGCTGTTCCTTTCAGGTAGTGTGGAGAGAGGTAACCCAATGTGTTTTCTGTCAGCTTGTCTGCTGCTTACCTTCTGTGCTGCATTCGCCTGGGAAAGACCAAACATTAATCTACAAAAGCATACTGTGGTGAACTGTCAGGGTTGAAGCTTGTCCTGCTACCCCCCCGCTTTGCTTCTCTCTTTGATGTGCCGGCACCTCAGTGCTGCTGGGTAAGATGCCCCCAGTTTTTCTTTGCATTCATCCCTTGTCAGTCCAGCCGACATCAGTCAAGAGTCTGCATAAATCAGTGCTCTCCGGTCTGCATGAAATGGTTTTATCACTCAAGAGGAACACTTTCACTCCAAACACACAACTATAAAACATGCAAGATGTTGATGTGGATATTTCAGATTTGCATGCATTGAGGCGAAAGACATCCAGATTTTCTTCTTGAATGCATGAATCTCTGAGTGTCCTTGTGTGTGCTGTTTATTTAAGAGTAAAAGTAAGAATAAGAATAACTTTATTAGTCCCCAAAGAGAAATTCAATGGTCTGTTGTCTCACAAAATATGTCTCTAACAGTTATCTACTATTTACACACAAGTTTTAAAGTCTAATGGCTGTTGGTACAAAAGATCTGAATCTTTCTGTCCTGCAGTGAAGAGAGAGGAGTCGTCCACCACCATTGGCCCTTTGGTCCATCAAGGTGTTGTGAAGTGGGTGATCCATGTTCTTCAGAACAGACTCAAATTCAAATTCAAATTTATTTTATTTGTATAGCACTTTTCATACATAGGAGTAGCACAAAGAGTTTTTGTGACTCCAGTCACTGAAGGCTCTTATTAGATCTGTGTATTCAGCTTCTTGTCCATTTCTGATACATGCCACAATAGCGGCTTCATCTGAGTATTTCTGGATGTGGCAGGACTCAGTGCTGTATTTGAAGTCTGACGTGTACAGTGTGAACAGGAGTGGCGCCAGCACTGTCCCTTGTGGAGCCCCAGTACTGCTCATTAATGTCCCAGAAACACAGTTCCCCAGCTTGACAAACTGTGGCCTTCCTGTCAGGTAATCTGTGATCCAGGAAACACAGGCAGGATCCACTCCCATCTCTGTGAGCTTGTCTTTATATATGGTAGGTTGGATGGTGTTGAACACACTTGAAAAGTCGAAGAACATGATCCTCACATAAACCCCAGGTTCCTCCAGATAAGACAGGGCACGGTGAAGCATGTAGAGGACAGCATCATCAACTCCAATGTGTTCTTTGTATGCAAACTGCAGGGAATCCAGTTTGTCTCTGACCTCAGACCTCGGAAGGGGTAGAATCAGCTGCTCTAGGGTTTTCATGATGTGTGAAGTGAGGGCCACTGGTCATTGAGTACAGCAGGACATTTTGTTTTTGGTACTGGCACAATGCAGGATGTTTTCCACAGAGTAGGTACCCGCCCCAGCTGTAGACTCAGGTCGAAGATCTTGTGGAGAGGTTGACACA